GTCTGATTCCGTGTCATCTACCCAGTCGAGTGAAAACTGCTCAAATAACATCAAATCACGTTACCTAGTTTTTATGATTAGGTTTTGTTCTTTTAAATTTCTTTAAATTGAGAAAAAACGGATCTTCAGTATTTTTCGTCGGAAACTGTGAAAGATTTCCAAATCATGTATTTGTGAGAAAGAAGACCGTTCGTTCATTTTCAGTGGCTGATACTGATTGCATTCGCTGAACCGATTGGATGAAACACAACCGACACATTTTAATGCAAATATTTTAGACGTTCTAAATGTTATTTATTGAGCGGGCACATAAATCAGTCAAGCAAAAACATGCATCGAAGGTATGATCAACAAAATAAGTGCAAAAAAAAATCTCGCCACATAAATGCACTTTAATCAGTACAGGGGAGAATGTACAACAACGGTTGAGACGATTTAAGTGCAATCAGAACAGAACAAAGCAACAATGAAACTTAATGCTCAGATCACAAATAATGAGGAGGCACTCATAATGCTGAGTAAAATAGGTGAAGTGAAGAGGCATTTGTGAAGTAGAAATAACCCGCTTATCACGATGAGTGCTTAACAGTTATTACTTTCTATACAGGTAAGCTAAGAGTGTAACTACTACATAATTGAAACACTGCACGGCTGCTAACGTATCACACGAATTTATCACCACTTCAGAGAACGTTTAACTTGTTACAGTTTCTGCAGGCAAATATACACTGCACTATTGATTGTAATCAGCGATATTGATAAAGACGATATTAACAATGATCACATGACTGCTCATAATTATCACTATGGTCAGTGGTATGACTACGTTATTGTCCACATAATTATTTCAAAATGAAACAACCATAAATTGCTGCCAACACCTAAAAACTCGCTCAGAATGATGCTCAGCAATCGCTTGCGACCAAAATCGAAGCTTATTACCGTGCACTGTTGTTTTTGGTTAGCCTCGTTAAGGATGCTGATTCCGTTTTATCGTGCATACAATGGGTGGGCAATTCAGTGCGACGGATTCTAAACTGCTGACGTACCGAACTGATGACTCACAATCAGTGTCATAAAGACATAAAAATGATTGGCAAACAAATTGAAAAACCACAAAATTTTTTCCCATCACGTGATCGTGATAAGATTTTTTCAGTTTCATTTCAGATGCAGCGAGTTGTGCCACAACAATCAACAACATTGTCTCAGTTTCGTTCATTCGCTAGACTGAGTCATACGTATGAAACTTGGAATTTCATTCTGAGTCAGTAAGAGCAGAAAGGCACAAAAATCAACAAACGAGTAAAAAAACGCTTAACAAAGGCCTTATGGATAATAAAGGAATACATATCGAAATGTACAGAAAGAATAACAAAAAGAATGAACACTGAATGCTTCTGTTGAACCTAAACAAACAAACACAAGCGAGAGTCAACGCTTCACTTTCTCGAAGAATTGATACATTTCTGGAATAACACCGATACGCTCATGTTTGGATGAACTCTTGATCCCAGACGATTGTTAATGGTATTTATCTTATCCTGGCTAGATGGTACTTCTTATGAATATTGTTGCTTTAGACAACTTCCTCTTTAATCCTCATGAAGATGTAGAAGATGAGCAAAATTAATGTCGTTTCATATGAAGTGACAAATGATCAGATCTCGAGAATGAGCGATTGCAAGACCGACATTGGAATGGTCTGTCACCGGTATGTTTGCGATTATGACGCGTCAGTTCATCAGAACGAGCAAATCGCCATTCACATCCTTGCCATGTACAAGCGTATGGCTTTTCACCTTAAATATTGCATCCGAACTAGACAGTTACTTTGAAAGTTACTTCAATTGATCAGNTTTGGAAACGTTAGTCCCCGCTGAATGATTAAATGTTGGATTGGTGATAAATGGGAACATAGATTGTGTTCATGTTAATAACAAGTTATCGCTAAGCAGAATACAGTTCAAAAAAGGGTCACTTCAGTGTCAAACGAAACGATTTTATCGATTTGCCGGGCAACACCCTCCATAATGTGCGTTTGCTGCATGCATCATGTTCTGTTCTTAAGCAATCAGATGAACTAGAGAATGATTTCGTTACGAATTTTGTGAATGCGATTCGTTCTTCAATGACACATTCAATTAATATTTCAACTCAATTCGATTGTCTTCATATGCGATCAGGTGTCATTTCTACTTACAAATGATTTGATTATTCTAAAAACAAAATTCAGTGCTCTGACTACTAAAGGATTTAACAAATATTTGGTCAGAGATGATGGTTTCGCAAGCAGATCAGAGTGCTCAACGGCAGCATTTATGAAGTGTAGACCATAAACATCATCACAAACCAGTATGAGTTCTCATGTGTGCCTTTAGGTGTGAACTCTTTGTGTAGACTTTTTTACAGTTTGGATGTCTACAACAATGCTTTTTACGATCTGCAGCTGCTTGTGTGTCTTTCAGTATTGTATCGAGTTCCACACTCATCGAATTTGCTGAATAACATTTTTCTCTGACATCGTCCTGAAACGTCGTTGTTCCTTTATGAGCAGGCACATAAATGTCATCCAAAATCGATCATTTCCATGAAGAAAAACGCAAACGTCACAATAAAACCGTTTACGAAAAAACGCTAGTTTTCAGTGTTACATAGCAAGATACAATTGTGTTACTGCCAAAAACAACTTCGTAAAGATTCGTTGTCGTTACCACTATCCTAATGATTTCATATTTGAAATAGCTTTTTGGTTAATCTTAACAAAGAATATGCTGCCGTTGTGCGCTCGCTAGCATCCCAGACGCTGACTGTGTTTATCCTTGAACGAAAAGAATATTTTTGAGCGGTACATAATATATGAAGAGTTCAAAACAAACTGTATTAAGAGACGATTGCTTGAAGCTATCGCTGTTTTGATGCTGCTGTATTGGTGCGGTGATGTGCGTCCAGCGTGGTTGAGGGAGTTGGGCTATTAGTGCGGATTCAACAATTTCCATCTGAATGAATAAATTTAATATTCAGTACTGGGAAGTTAACAGATTTGTATCTTTCTCTTGAAGAATACTCGAAGTCTGATTGGTTGTGTTATCTGGAAAGAGTGCATTGGAGACGTTCGCAAATGCATTATCTTGATAAGTTGAACGCTTATACAGAGGATTGCATTTGCAATGCATGATAATACTGATGGAGGATGTTTGAAAAAGGCCTTGCTCACTGCTCATTGTTTATGTGTTGAGCATAGATTTTTGAGTGGCACATGTCCCCTGCTGAGCAGTTTGCTCGGGGCTGTTCGCTCACAGCTGATGACAAAATCGAGTCTGATTTTGTGATTTGATAACTGATCACTGATTCGGATTTGATAACTGATCCTAGAGGAGTCAGTTGTTCTGTTGTATGGCATTTGTTCGAATACATTTTATCCTATAATGTTCAAAGGCAAGGAACNAATCAAAAAACTTTACTGCACATATGAATGAGGTACACAAAATGGAAATTAACCCCTTCTTCGATGCCTTTTTTGTTCAAAATTTGTCGCATTGCTTCAACATCTTTCGAATATTTGAGCAGATTCTTAGTATCATTGTGATCAGTCACTGAATCAATTTCATACTGTCCACCACCAGAACAGTGCGATGTAAATGCGGATGATGTGGTTGAGATTGAGGATGGAAGATCGGATGTGGTTGAGGACGGTGAGAATGTTGTTTTAATATGAATTGGTGTGAACGACTGTGGTTGTTGAGGTGATTGTAATCTCAATGAATTTGTGCCATTCGTTATCGAATTGGTTCTATCATACGATGGCATCCTAGCTGTGTTGCTTGAACCGGGAATTGGTGAGAGTGACGAAGATGGATCAGAATCTGATGCCTTACCACTATCCATCTCTTCATATTGCTCTGAAAACCGGTTCTAGATTGATGCATTTGATCGTAAGTTCATGGGAGTGGTTAGGGCAGAAGCTAAAAGATCGCGTTTAATGATATAATCGAATAGATTCATTGACTGTACACACATCTTCAAATGTTCATCTGTTCCACCAAAGCACGCCATAAAATCAATGCCTCCAATTATTTTCTCCTACAACAATATGCTCAAGTCAAACAATCAACATCAGAAGACAGTGAAGATCCTTGAGAAAAATAAACTAACCAGAAAGTAAATATTTCGAGTCATCGACCAATTTAATAGGTACAGTTTTTGCAATGATACAGTTCTGATGCAATGTCGACGTAGTGGCACAGTCGTTATGGATGCCATTGTTTAGGTGCTGAATGTTGGTTGTGAATGCACTCGCTTCAGATGAGTCTGCTGAGGAATGCCTTGACCTCGCAATACGTCGCAGATACAGCAAACTATTTTCTGCACTACCTTCTTCTAACGCCGAACAACTTCTCAGCGATTTCTCCTCCAGTCGATCATCGGAAAATGTTGACGATTCTTCCCTCCAGGTGTCTTTCAACTGAGAATATGTTTGATGAACAAAAACATTCATTATTCAACTCGAATTGATCGATGTCTTGTTAATTGCTCTGTTATAAATGCAATTATAAAAGGTGTAAACTCTTATGCTCGATAAAGCATGATGATTCAGAGCCGAAATGTAGAAGAATGCCTACTTCTCGTTTATCTGAGAGGAGATTTTCGATTGTGAATGCCGATGATTTAAGAAACGGTGATGGTGCTGATGAATGAATCGGAGATGGTCGAGGAGATGAGGATGAAGCGAGCGATTTCGACGGAGTTGAATAAGAGGCACTCGATGACCCATCAACTGAAACCTTATGAAATGAACAGTCAGCAAATTTCTCGAGTGAATTTTTAGTGTGCAAAAATGAAAGCTTATTTGATAATGAAATGAAATGGCAACACAAAAATCCAACAATGCATCGCCTTAATTTCATTCGTCTTTATCAAAATCTTTACAAGTAAAACTGAATGAATAGAACTCTTTAATGTCAATATAATTCTGCGATTTGAATCACACAGACTAAAGAAGTTGAGGTGCTCTCGTAAGGTGGAAATGCACTCTAAAGGGAACACCAAAGCTCACAGTCAACTCTGAGTGAATTGAATGCAATTCCAAGTGTTGTTGTTGGTGTCGAAAAGCCGGG